AAACCTTAAACTTAGGTATACCAATCAAATTCAAGGGACTAACCCAATTTATATGCACTTTCTTGCTAAATCTTCAATTTACTTCACATCCAAGTATATCCACTAGGACTTTTATTTCCCTATAAGTTTGTCATTTTTGTATCAATCTACCTTTTAAAGCTTGAGATAACATCGTTAGTACTCATTCAGAATCATCAGGATACATTTCACAACCTAAACATATTAATATTGTACCAAAGATTCACCACTAAAATTTTCCTTTAAAATAATGCTCAATCTATGTTCCTCTAGTAATAAACTAGTTGGTTTCTCAAATGTGAATGCAACACTAAATCTTATTATCTGACCATGTCGTACAACTTGTAACTCCTTTAGTAACTAGTATTCATACTTGACAATCGACGTACCTGTTTCTACATAACCCTAGTACTGCCACACCGTTTTGTCCGTTAGATAGCTCACTAGAACACATCATACCTGTCCATAATATCGTACCCAAATAGCCCACATATTTCTACCCATTGAATAATTGCAAAACATTATCGAATATGTTCTCACTCTAGACCAAGCAATTTGTTTTACTTCTTAGATCAATTCAATAACAAAATAGCACACTTCCTAACTCTAACCAAGTAAGCATCGATGACTTTCTCGAATATACCCTCACTCTATGAAGTCATAGTAGTGTCTTTATTAACCGACACTCGACATGAGACTACCACAACATTTTGCGATCGAGAAAATAATCTATTTTAAGGACATATTTTTTTTCTTTCTGTTGTTGCTATTTCAACTTCAAATACTCTAGTAGTACCCATATTTGAAATAGAGTGAAGAAGTTCAGATACCAATTTGTATCACCTAGATACCAATTGGATTCAAGCAGTAGCACGAAAGAATGAAAAAAATGAGCTTTCCCAAAGTCATATAGCTTCTCGAAGAAAAGTAAACGCGTCCCCTTACCGTTCTGCAAGACTCTACTAGACTTGTCCTTGTGTAATGAGATCAACGAACCGAACGCTCTGATACCAAGTTTGTCACGACCCAAAATGAGTTGTGAGTGACACTCACACTTACACCCCTAGGTGAGAGAACCAACAAATTTAACCCAACTTACAAACTACAAACATAATTCGGAAGCTCAAATATATTACTAAATATTTTTTCCCAAAACTTGAAAGTCATCACAACAAGGATATCTAATCTCCAATTACTGAGTCTAAGAATATCAAAGACACCAAAACAAATAAAATAAAGTAATTCGTGTCTGAAAACTAAGGACATCAGATAATGACTGAGAGAATCCAACTCAAGCTCGAATGAATAGCTCACCTTTGAACTTGATATGATGAGACTTGATAGAGCTAAGGGCGATTCAAATTCGTTGGTACACTTGCTGCATTCCATATAAGGAAAACAAAAAAAAATACAAGTAGGGCTCAGTACGAGGCAACATGTACTGAGTAAGTATCATCAGCCAACCCAAAATAGTAACTAACATACACTGAATAATAGTATAAAATCAAATATAGTACTTAATAGGTGAGAAGCAACAAACAACATGAATGAGTGACAATTGAAGCAAGTACCTAATTAAAACAATATCAAGCACACACAAGGACTCATGTCTCCACACCACGTTCGTTGGGAAATGGGTTCTTTGAGATTGAGTACATTAAATTTATTCAATATCCTTTTCCTTTAATGTTTTTGTGTCGGAACGTGACATTCAGATTTAACTATACCGTGTCGGAACGTGACACTCCAATCAAATTATGCCATGTTTGAATGTGACACTCCGATCCAATTATACCATGTCGGAACGTGACACTCCGAATCCAATTATATCGTGTCGAAACGTGACACTCCGATTCAACTATACCGTGTCAGAACGTGACACTCCGATCCAACTATACCGTGCCGGAACGTGACACTCCGATCTAATTATACTATTGATTTATCCTTTATTATCACCGCTTTCAATTCATTGTTATATTATTTTCATCAAGCCTTCTTTATTCAAGGCATCACGTTGATAGAGAGGGTTAGAGAATATAAATTCTACGGTCTCAGGATTTCAGACCACACAATCACAAACCACACAATCACACAGTCAAGTACATAGAGAACTTCACAATATCATTCAATGCATAACAATCACTATTAAGATTTTATTTTCAAATAATATAAACCATAACCTACCTCCACCGAAGAACCGAAGTGACACAAGTTACGTCTCCAATACTTTTTCTTTCCTCATCGTCTCCGAACCTTTTCAATCTATCAAGTATATAATATATGTAAGTTAACGAGTCCATTGCCATCCATATTACTATAATGTCTAGCCTAGAACCAACAACTCTCGAAATTTATAGTTGAATTCCTAAGCTTTAATACCAACTAATTCTCATAAGTCTCAAATTTCAAACCTAGTGTTAAATCTCAATTCCTACATTACATACCTAATGCCTTAAAAAATTTAATTATCTATCTTAAGATATCAAAATTCGAATCATTATATGATATCTTACAATCAAACTTCAACCCAATATACATGTCGTACCATAAAAACTCATATTGCTTACGATGAATAATTGAAGGTGATTATTGTATTCCTTAGTAATTCTAATCAAAAGAGGAATTGGGAACTTCCAACGGAAACAACAAGGAAGAACAAATAAGAAGTTATATGCATAACTTTTCCAGTTATCAATTGATCCGTTCTATTCCTTCTCAATCATTATTCTAACCAATAACATCATGAATTCCTTGTACAAAGATTCCCTTAGTTACATTTTCGATCCAGTACCTTTGTCCAAAATATATCCACTACCATTACGTAATCAATTGGTTACTTTCCATTAAAATATAATATACACACATGTATGAATGCAACACCACAATTTTCTTACCTCTTAACATTATAATAATAATAAATATAATATACAATCCTATATACCAATTTCACTTACGACCCAACCTAACGCTACTATCTATTGTCAAAAATTAATTATAAATAGTTTCTAATTGTAACCATTAATTAATTATAGCATATATATATATAAATGAAAATTTTTTTCACCTGTACAAACATGCGATTGTTCTTTGGCATCATAGTCTTCTCTCCTTTAAGGATTAGAGCCGCCATTAGTTTATTTTGGAACATGAATAATAGTATATTCTCATTAATCTAATTTAACTTTTATTACCCTAATTGTATACCTAACTAATTATAAATTATAAAAGTGACCCACTATTTATTTTACTATTATTTTCTTTAACAACCAACTAAATAATTATTAAAACTACCCCACTAATTTCATAATTATAATTACGAATAATCCAAAATACCCATTTAAAATCTTTAAAAATTATTTTATGAAATAAAAAGCTCTAATATTTAAAACAACCAAATGGGTCGTTACAGTTTTGAAGAGATATCCACCGAAATAGAAACACAACAAAAACCACAAAGAATGATCCAAAACTTTACTAGAGTTCTGATTCTTTTCAAGAGTAGAAAGCAATATACTTTTTTGTTATTCTTTAAGAGTAACTGAAAGTGAGAGATGAGAGTTAAGAGTAATGTAGAATTGGTGGTGTTTAATGAAAAGAGAGGTCTCTTTATATAGTGAATATGAGGGGTCAACAATATAGGAAAAGAATTATTTAGGGATCACTTAGAATAATATTTTACTTAATTATGAGGAGAGCAAAATCAGATTTATAAAAAAAATATTTTATTACGAAATATAAACAAGTAAGTATAAAATTAGGAAGAGTAATATTATTTTTCCTTAAATGATGAAGAGCCAAATCAGATTTATTTTAAATTATTATTATTATTTTTACCAAATATGAGCGACTAAATAAAACAATGAAATAATTAAGGTTGTGATAAAAAAACAAGTAAGAATTAATCAGGACAAATATTAATAGAAGGAGGGATCAATTAATATTATTTTCTTAAATAAGATACCGTGGAATCAGTAAAAAATATTTTCCAAACAAACAAATATTTTTTCCAGAAATAAACAAGTAAGACATCTTCTAAGGAAAACAAATCAATTAACATTAGTCAATCAAGCTATCAACCGAAATCTTTTTACCAAATAAATTTAAGTAAGAATCTGCCTATTTAACTAAGACAACTACGTTCAGTTTAAACAAATAATATGCATTAATAAAGTGAGACAAATAATAACTGTTTAAAGGAATTACCTTTTCAATCCAAAATCAACACCCCCCCATCAATGAGCTTACCATATAATCAGGATAACTAGGGATATGTCCTCTAAGCTTAAAGAAGGAAGAAAGAACATTATGGAGAAATCAGTTATCATCATAATATTAAATCAAGCGGACAACCCTTAATCAAATAAAGGAGTAACCAAATCACTAACCAATTGGAAAAAAACAGAATCAATTGTCAATCAGAGGGAAATGTATTACAGTCAGCAACATGCACCACAAAATTTTAGGTCTATGACCACCCCAGTAAAGTGTAGCCTACACTAGCAAAAAGTGTGACCTTTGATAAAAAGCTACACTTTTAAACTTTAAGCAACACTTTTCCGAGGTTGCCCGAAAGAAGCGTTCAAGCACTGCCTTATCAGCTATGCTTAAAATCATAGCCTAAAAGGCAAAATGGAAATGCTTTATGTACCTCATATAACAACATTTCTATCTCATACATCTACACTTTTGATGTGGCCTTAGCTTCCTTATTGCCCATGATTTTTAAGTGTTGCCTTTTAATCTAATGTATGATAACGATTTTAAAGTGTTGCCTTTTCTATCTAATGTATGACAATACTTTGAAGTGTAGTCCTTGTCCATGTGGATACAACATTTCATATCCCTATGACTACACTTTTAAGTGTGACAATAATATTTTGACTACAAAATATTTATATGCTACACAATATGACAACGTTGTCTAGAATTTTATAGTCACAATTTTGAATTGAAAATAATAATTTTTATTTGGATAGATTCACTAGTATTGCAAAGAAAATAGTAGATTAAAAGAAGAGTTGTACACAAATGAAAAAAAACAAATATAACCATAACAAAACAGGATAGATGCAAAGAGTTATTTGTTTGTGGCTTCCACACGAAAAGAAACTCGAAAAACAACATATACCCTTATTTGAAAATGACATTCAGTACTCTAGCTAGCTGTGGCTTCCAGCAAGCTCAATGTCTAAGTTCTCCTCTGCAGTAGAAGAGGAAAATTAAGTTTAGTAAATAAAAAAACAGAAACAAAGAGAGGAAAATCATGGCAGATAGGATAGGTTTCAAAAAAATTATAAATAAACAAATGAATTTGATTGATCTTTCAACTTTACTGTGTGGCCTTGGATTCGATTTCGGGGGGGGGGAATATTCTGAACTTGAATTTTATGTTTTGAGATATCATCTTATGTTACACTATATCTTTTGCACATTTGAATTCTTTGATTGTGTTCTCTAGCCTCATTTCATAAAGGTTAGGTATATCAGCCAGCGGAAATGACACAGAGTTGAGCTTTTCATATGAGACAAGAACAAGTTGGTCGAGGATGGGGAAGTTACGATATGACGCCTCCTAAGTTTCTAATTCTACCCTCTCGATCCATAATAGCCCGAGTTTTCCAAATCCTCCTACCTTCAACTTCCAAGTATCGCCCATGAATGCATTTTCTTCCAACTTAAGAACCTTAAGAGATTCCAATTTCCCTAATTTAGTTGCCTCACTCCATGAAAACCTCGTGTTTCCCAAAGTTAACTTACTAACTGTTCGTACATTATTATACAAATGTCAGATCAAATCGTACCTTTTTCTCACCCGCAGCAGGTGTTGTTGCGGCATCTGCACCAGTATGAGTAACAGTAGCGCCAACAACGCAGTACGTAGAAGTAATGTTTATTATAAGCTCCTTCATATTTTTCTTCTCAAAAAGGTTGGGCGAGTATGACTAGCAATGTTCATTATAAGCTCCTCCATATTTTTCTTCTAAAAAAGGTTGGGCGAGTATGACTCCACCTTCACATTGACTTATGTGCCTATTTTATCTGCCTAAATGAAGGAAAAAACAGACACATAATAAATACAAAAGCTATTGCCAATTTATTTATTGTGATGTTCAATATGTTTGTCACACCTCGAAATACCCTGGAGGCGCGAACACGGGACCTAAGACCATAAGTGATCCCAAGCTAACCCTGCTGGCATGATCATGAGCATACTAAAGATAATAAACTGATGTGGAAACTAAATCATAATTAAAATGAAAAGATGGGGAAATACCCATACACTATAACTGAGATATTTGGAACTGCTAACAATAAGATGAATGATAAACTCAGTGTGAGGTATATTTGTGTGCTATCATCAAAAAGGGGGAAAATGTTATATTCCAGGTGTTTTGATGATCCTCACAAATGCGGGGACCTGGTCCCTGGCAAAGTGCTCTCGTCCAGATACAAATGGGGTACAGTCATAAAAGTTGCCATGTCAGGTGGTAGGTGAATAGTGCAGTATCCTACACCAATAAGAAGAGCGGACTAGATTGTATGTTTCAGTATCTCACAAATGCAGGGACCTCATACCAGGCAGAATTTCCTCCATCAGATACATAATTAGTTACAGCTGTAAAACTGTCACGTCAAAGGTTGGTAAGGCGTCAGTGTACTACACCAATCAGAATGGAGGAGGGTATTTGTCCAACGGATAATAACTTTTTATGTTTGATACTTTTAGCATGACAAACACCATATTATATTCATTCATCCAAAGAAGAAAGTCAGCTAGCAAGCCTTTTCAAGAACTCACAAAGAAGTTTGCAAGGGACCGTCCCCGCAAGCAAGGGACCTGGTCCCCACAAGACTGCGATGTGAAAAGGAAGAAAAGAGAGCCATCAGAAAAGCTGTCATCTCTGATGTGGTAGGTGCACAACTTTTCCAACAGCAGGCCTTCAGCCAATGGGATGACTTCAAGAATTTGTGAAAAATTATATTATCTCTTTCCAACAAACACAAATTCAAGACTTGGCAAATTAAACTTGGATTTTCTCTAAAAATTCACAAGCTTGAACAGAAGGCCATCTTCAACGAAGAACATAGCTCAACTCAACAGAAGGACCTGATAGAGCAAAGAAGAATCTTTGCTGTATTTAGAGCTTTGTGTCTATGTACTTACATCATAAATCTGTTCCTTATCTATAAAGGATTCAGATATTTGTTTTGGATTTGTAAAAGTCTAAATCAGTTAAGGTTAACTGATTTAGTGGGCAACATTGTTTTGTTGCTTAGTCAAATTCTAAGTCATCTAGAGTTAGGTGGTTTAGTGGGCGGTGTGGTATCCGCTTAGGCTCTTCAAGTAATAGGTAGATTTACTTGGTCGTGAGATTAATAAATTTTTCTCACATTGATTGCAACCGAATTTCACTTTTGCTTGAGAAGATTAGTGAAGACGCTTGTAAATCCTGTGCAACAGGTTGTGGTTTTACTCCTTTGAGCAAGGAGGTTTCCACGTAAACTGCTTGTCTTTGTTCTGCATATTGTTTAATCTTCCGCACTGTTCTTGCTGTGTCAAGGGACCTGGTCCGTTGACTGGTAGTGGACACACATATTCCAACAATAATTAAAATGAAAAGATGGGGAAATACCCATACACTATAACTGAGATATTTGAAATTAATGAGTTTAATACAAAGAACATATTAACTCAATACTAAATTAAAACTAATTATGTCCGAAAATAGCCTCTAACTGACTAGAAATGTTGGGACATACCCTAGATAAGCCTAGCAAAAATTGAAACTAAAGGACTAAAAATATTAAAAATAAACTCATGACTATTATTCTCGGAGAATAAGGACTCAGCACTAACTCTGATGAAGTGGAGATCGGGAATCAATCTAAGCATGATCTGGATGCTGAGAGTCTGAACCTACATTAGGTACTGAGCATGTAGGATAGAGTAAAGCTAAAATAAAATATAACTAAACAAGTACAAAAACAAGTATAGTATTCTAAGTATGATATACTGAATTCTGAGCTAACTGGATGCAATGACCAAATTTATAACATGCTGAGACTGAATACTAACTGAACTGTACATATGGTCAATTGAATAGAGTCTGACTGAACTATGGGAGCTACTAATAACCGCTAATAAAACCACATGAGCTAAATGTGGAGTCTGATATCTACGCCCCATCGAGAGGACCCACTATGTCCTGCCAGAGGTATAAAGGCATGCTGACATGATCACTAAATTTATGCCCACAGAAAGGACTTACAACCTACTTGGCTAGTAGTTCTGGGACTATTTGGGTACGCTGAACCCTAGTCCAACTCGGTATTATTCTACTCCCAATGAATTAAGTGATTAACACATTATGACTGAATTTCTGTAAATACTAGATAACTCAAAAATGAACATGCAAACTGAAAATGCAACAATCAATATGATAATGATGCATTAATAACTGAGGCATGTATATCAGAAGTAATTGAAGTATCTGACCTAGCATGTGTAATTCAAGAACTAAAGAAATACATAGCTAAAGGTTCTCAAATTTATTCAATAAACTGAGTAATAACATAGTAATATGATTTGGAATATATAACTAACTAATTCATGGTAATCTGCTGAAATTCTAGAAACCCTAAGTCTAATCATGATAAGGGAATCAAGAATCTGATGATATTTAGGGACCCAATGGGTGAAAGGAACCCACTAGTGAAATCCCACATATCTGGTGATGAAATCTACATAGAAATCTTTAGATTTTGAGGTTGGAACTGATGGAACCTTGCAGCGTTCTTAAACTAGGGTTCTTGACCTTTTTCTCCTTTATTGCTTCTATTTTTTCTAAGTTTTGATTAATGATTTGACTTAGGTAAGTTTTAATTATGTTTATAGGCTTAAACTGACTAAAATCTCATGATTTAGGGTTTAAATGATGTATCTTAGGGTTAAACGAACTAGGAAAATACGAAAAGACCTATGAAATAATTGTTGTCGGAGCAATCGATAACCTGAACTGGGCGACCGTCGTTCAATCAAAGGTCCATCATTTAGTTCCTTACTAGAATGGACATACGTTTTACTCGGAGGTCATAGTTATGAAAACTTGGTGGCCTTGGAAAAATAGTTCAATTATCTATAATAACATTAGTCAGAGGACACCTAATTCATTTTGTGTTAAACGTTATGACCATGTAAAGTTGACCCAACATCAATCCCCCCTAACTAACTACTAACCTTCACCTACTGTCAGACATATGAACCGTAGATCGAACAACAGTCCGTGATGGTCATCCGTAGTTCATGTCAGAGGTTGGGTAATAGGAGTCTTCATCCACGGACATAGACCACAGACAGTGGTCTGATCTACGGACCGTAGGTTTGTCTTTGGATCGAGACTTAGCCAATTTTTTTGAGTTGTTTTTGGGAGGGCTATAGTGGTGAACCACGGACCCAAAGTACAGGTCGTATATCAGACTACGGTCTGTAGATGGTAACCTTCAATTGCAACTGCAATTTTTTTGAAAAGCTGATTTATGGTCTTCTTTGAATACGGGTTGTTACATTATCTCCCCCTTGGGAACATTCGTCCTCGAATGAAGACTAAAAAAGATGAAATAGAGTTGCAATCCCTACTACTAAACACTGATAATTGAGTTTCTGACAGAATTGAGTTCCAAGGACATGCAAATATTCTAAAAATGCAAGTACAAACTAAGTGAACATGATTCTAAGGTTGAATTTACGCATGAATGACTGAAAAATTGAAGAGCACTATTACCTCAAGCAGGAGTGGAATCGGAAGGAAAGAGGTGAGGATACTTGGCTTTCGTGGTTTCTTCCGCTTCCCAAGTAGCTCTCTCTACAAGCTAATTCCTCCACAGAACCTTGACTGAAGCGACTTCTTTTTTTCTCAACCTTCTAACCAGACGGTCAGAATCTCAACGGGTACATCCTCATCAGAAAGACTATCTTTCACTGCCACACTCTCTAATGGAACTATAGAGATTGGATCACTCACCAACTTCTTCAAGAGCGAGATGTGGAAGACTGGATGCAATGCTGCTAGTTCTGCTGGCACCTCTAACTCATATTTCACCTTGCCAACACTTTTCAAGATTTTGTAAGGGCCTACATATCTAGGACCGAGCTTTCATTTTTTGCCAAATCTTATCATCCCTTTCATAGGTGACACTTTCAAGAAAACCCAATCATCAACTTGGAACTCTATTCCCTTATCCTTACATCTGCATAAGATTTTTGACAACTCCGGGCTGTCTTAAGTCTATCTCTAATTAGTTTCACTTTCTCCATAGAACAAAGGAATAAATCTAGCTCTATTAAAGCTATTTCACCTACTTCAAACCAACCAACAAAAGATCTACATCTACGCCCATACAATACCTCATAAGGGTCTATCTAAATGCTAGAATGATAGATATTATTATAGGAGAGATCAATAAGAGGAAGATGATCATCCCAACTACCCTTGAAATCGATCACACAAGCTCTCAACATATAGTCTAGGGTCTGAATGGTACCCTTTGCTATCTATCCGTCTGCGGATGAAATGTTGTGCTAAGGTTAACCTGCGTACGAAGGACCTTCTAAAATGACTTCCAGAAAATAGGGGTAAACTGAGGACATCTATCAGATATAATAGATAAGAATCCCATGAAACCTCACATTTAATGTAAAGCTTGGCATATTCCTCCGTTGAATTTGTTGTCTTGATCGCCAAAAAGCAAGAAGACTTAGTCATCCTGTCAACTATCACCCAAAATTGAGTCATGCTGTCTGTGAATTCGAGGTAACCCTGTGATGAAATCCATATTGATAACTTCCCACTTCCAAGTAGGAATGTCGATCTCTTGAGTCATAGGTTTTTGACGTTCTACCTTGATTTGCTTGCAATTGATGCACTTACTGATTATGGACTGTACCCTAGATGAATAAAATATTTAGAGTTATGGGATTCTGCAAGAATATGTTGTCTCAGTTCACCCACATCAGGA